ATTCGATTCATAACAGAGAAATTAGAATAAAATAATGTTACTTGATTAGTCTTAAACCAATTTTGATTAAGCATCCTTAATGAGCCTATATAAGGCCTAATTAACTCAAGAAGCTCTTCATATACACTCCATTTGATCCATTTTGAGCATAAAACGTAAGAGAGAGGGTAAGAACAAGAAAATCACATCTAAGTTTGATGATTGGAGAGACTTGGAGGAGAAATTGAAGAATTGACTTGTGAGCTCAAAACGTCTACGCATAAGCCATAATTGAGCACCTAAGGTAAGAAATCAAGCCTTTAGCTGTGTAATTGGAGTACCCAACACATGTAGTCAAAAGAATTAAGTGAATTGAGGCAAGAATTAAGCTTAATGAAGTAGAAGAGAAGAGTATACATATATGCATATGCATGACATTGCATTTAGAGCATGTTATCTACGAATTTGTCCGATGCATGTCCATGTTTTGGTTTTAGTTTAAGAATGCACCATGTTTTTTAGTAGAACATCTCATTTGATCATGATTTGGAGACTTAGAATCTCATTCATATCATGCATGTCATGCTCATGTTATGTTTTTAACATTCTAAGCTTGATTTTGTACAATTGACAGAGCTTTTGGGCTTAATTTTGCGAAATGGCTTTTGACTCATGATATATTATGAATTTATAAGTGTTTTCTTAAATTTTGACCCAAACGAACATGTTTTGACTCATGATATATTATGAATTATAATAATGTATCTTACATAATTTCAAAATTATTATAAAAAAATTAATATAATTTATACTATTTATATTTATATTCTTATATTAAGTGAAGGCTAAATTTGGTCCCTTTGATATCATCAAACAGGTTGGGGAAGTGGCGTGCCATCTTGCATTACCGCCCCAGCTTTCAAGAGTCCATAATGTGTTTCATGTATCTATGCTCCGTAAATATGAACCCGACCCCTCTCATGTGTTAGATTGGACGGAAATTGAAGTCAATGATGATGTATCTTACGAAGAAAAGCCAATCCAAATCCTTGATACACGAGAACAAGTGTTGAGAGGTAAGACAATCCCTCTAGTTAAGGTGTTGTGGTATCATCATGGCGTGGAGGAAGCGACATGGGAACGAGAAGCCGAAGTCCGCAAGAAATATCCAGAATTATTCTCAAATTTGTGATGTATTAATTTCCTTGCTTTTCTGAAGTATCTAATGAAATTAATCATGAGCCACAAATTCTTAATGTCTCCTTTATTTTTGACCTTGAGTTTGAGGTGGTATCATGTCTAGATTGGATGTTGTAGTGGATTTACAAATGTATTATTATTGCTTTGAATTGTTGTTGTATTGGAAGTAAGCCAAATTTTTCATTGTTCCTCATTGTTAGCTCCTATGTTCAAGTGGAGGTATATATATATATGATGTTTACGGGTAGAATTGTTAAAGATTGATGAGTGGTACAATGAAGATGGTAGAAAACTAGAATGTATGTGTATGCATTTATTGAGATTGCCATATGTTATATCAGGTGAGAGACGGAGGTTAATTTCGGGGGCAAAATTTCTTAAGGGGGAGAGATTGTGACATTTTGTTTTCGGGGTCACTCGAGCATAGAATCGTTGCTCCCAGAATCTTGCTGAATTGAAGGCATGCTTGCTCAAGCGTGGAATGCTAGCTTTTACTAGTTTCACTGTAGCGCTGCAAAATTTCTGAGGCTTCTCTTTCTCCGCTCGAGCGAAGAAGTTGTCGCTCAAGCGAGGCCTTTTGATTGTGTCTGGTCGCTCGAGTGTAGGAAGTCACGCTCAAGCGAGGGTCGCAATATCAGCTTTTTAAATTCTAGATCATTTTCTCATTTCTCTTTTTCTATCCTCCATCTCCTCTTCCTCTCTCTATGAAACCCTAAATTTCCACTATAAAATGCCTCTCATATCCTTGGGATCCAACTTAAATCTCTTGCTAGGAGTGAAAAACATTTAAAGTTTGTCATTATCTACCGATTGGATTGTGGGTTTGCGAAAGATTCTTGTAGGAGCTTGGATTTTTGCTTGATTGTTGAGGTAGGGATACTTTTACCCTTGTATTTCTTCATTATTGAAGGGATTTCATGGCATTGTATGATTTGCGAACTAATTTGAGGATTTTGTTGGATTAAACCCTTATTTCACACTTTAAACCATTTTTGCCTAACATTTAGTTTGAAATTTCTCAATCCCTTCTTTTAAACATGAATGTAAATGTTATTAAAACCTAGATTGGTGATAAAGAAAGCCCCAAATTAGGTAAAACCCTAAATACCCAAATTGAGTAGAATTCACTACATGGAGTGGAATTTCACTCAGTTCATGAAATATTGTGAACAATGGAGAGATGGAAATTGAGGTCATTGATATAGTAAAAGGAATGGTGGCTTGGTTGTTATTATTCCTTAAATGTAATTTGGTGTTCATCTATGGTGAGGTTTGATGTTTGTTGATTGTGCATTGAAATGTGATATGTTTGTTGATTGTGCAAGAGTCCAAGTGAGAGTTGGTTTTGGGTGAATATGGTGTTATGTTGGTATCAGCGCCGGGGAGTTCAAAAAGGTGCCCAAATGCCCTGTCTAGGCTTATCGCTGGACGAATGTGGGAAAAATGTTTTGGGGTGTCCACATAGTCCCGCTGTATAATAGCCGGCGAAAGTGGAAAATGGGTGATTTTCCTTTGAGTGCCCACTTCTTGCCATATAATAGTCGGTAAATGTGGGGGTGGTTTCCAAAAATAAAAGTGATGGATGTTCTCAATTGGACTCTTGTAGATGAATGTGTGGCTTGATGTTTCATGGTTATGAATGTTTATTTGTTATACATGAAGATATGATGTGCTATTGTCTGTGTTAGAATATCATGGTTCCTTGTGATTTGTTAAAGACTAACCGTGAAGATAAGTTTTATTGTAAAGTTTGTCACACGGATGCCATAATCTTTTTCAAAGGATTAAATAATTGGTTAAATGTGTTTTTACTAGGCAAATAGCTCAACCCTAATTTGTTTTTTAGGAATTGACGAAGGACAACCTCGTTGATGGACTGGTCCAAGCGCTAGCTCTTTTTGGAGATGGTAGAAGTCAAGAGGGTGTTGGATGTTTTAAATTGGGACTTTTGTAACCGGACTACTAAATGTATCTTGTGATGTTGTATGCTCAAGGGGCTTATGTTTTGTTAAGTCATCTAGTTTATTGAACTGGAACATGTATTTTGGGTATTGTGGGAATGCATTTATTAAATTGTAATCACTTAACTCTTAGTTCAATGAGAAAGATGACTTTTTGGATTAAATGATCATGCTATCTTGGTGTACTATGGGGTGAATTTCAGGGCGTTACATATATGCACCATCTTCGAAACCGTAAGTTTAAGAAATAAAACTCTTACCATTTGAGCAATATACATATTTTAATATCATTTAATTTTTTTATCATTTATTTGAAGGAGCATTTACCAGTCAGCCCTATTAATTAGATTTATTTATCTATAAGTCTTTATTCATAAATTTATTAATATAAATTTATTCATAGAAACAAGAGAAACTGATAAATTTGATAAATTTATCAGTAAGACTTAATAGGTAATAAATCTCAAAATTAGGACATATTGGTAATTTATCATTATTTAAATTGCAAACGCATCACGCATGTCAACCGCTAATATATCTTCTATATTAACATAAATTAGAGGATATGGTTGAAAATGGAGTTTACAGTCAATTTTTTTTAATATAAATATATGCATATGCATACGCATACAAGAAATAAATAAAAAGAAGAAAAAAAATTGGTAAAATCAAAATCATAGTAGAATTGAAATCAAAGTACAATTCTATATAATTTTATAATTAAGATTGTAGTTATTTTAAAATCTCATTATAATCCAAATTATTTGGTACAACTCGTAAGATCCTATCATCTAAATAAGGATTTTGATAACCATACTCATAAGCACAAAACTTGACTTATTCGGAGCCAGAGTCATAGCCCACATAATATCATAACTTTTTTTATTCACAAAGCTAGTAACAATGACCACAAACAGTCGTAACTTTGGTGGTTCTATCGTAATCTATTGGAAAATTGATTCACCAAACAAGTCAAATTGAAATTTTTGCAAATTACATAACCGCCACAAGTAATAACCTTTCATATACTACTGTTCTCACAAAAACAAAATAATAAAATAAAATAAAAATCATTTCATATTCTACTACTATTGATTGTACAAGTTGTCATAACCTTTCAAAAACAGTTTTTAAGAAATATTTTTGAGAATAACACGTTATGAAGATAACCAAAAATTTATTTTGAAAAATATTTTACACAATAAAGAAAAAGAAAAATGATGGATATGTTCAAATTTTCCATTTGTTTTTAGTTTTTAAAAATACACACAAACAAACAACAAAAACAAAAACAAAAAACAAAAACACAACCAAATATGCCCACAAATCTAAGATTGACAAACTTTATAAAACTCTATTTAAATTCTTGAAATAACACTAGAATTAAATCAATCAAAAAATAACACATATCACATAACATTTTATAAAAAAATTCATGCCAACATATGATGTCATAAAACCTTATTGCAAATTAATTAGAAATGCTAAAATTAATACAGAGTCAATAAATCTGTTAGCTTATATAGAGGATCATAATTTCATTATATAAATCTATTTCAATAAATGATCATAATTTAGTTATATAGAATATTTTAATTTATGTTTCCTAATTGTTGATTCATAAAAATTTGTGCTAATGAAATAAATTCACACATCTATAATAAAGAGTAAATAAATATGTTTCATTATATAGATGAATATGTTTCATTATATAGATGATCTCTGTTTCCTTATATAGATGATCATATTTTTATTATATAAATCTGTTTCAATAAATGATCAAAATTTCATTATATAGAATATTTTAATTTCTGTTTCCCAAAATAAAATAAAATAAAATCAACATTTTCCTGTATTTAATTAAACCCCAACTCCATCTGCTATGCCAGGTACTTGAACCGGGAAGAATCCTTTACCATATAGGATACCAGCAAGAGCAGCACTGATCAAAGGTCCGATCCAATAGACTACATGGTTCTTGAAATTGCCTCCAACAAGAGCTGACCCGAATGAGTAAGTCGGGTTCATTGACCCGCCCGTAAATGACCCGGATGCCAATACATTAGCTCCTACAATGAACCCGATTGCTAAGGGTCTAGTTGCTCCCAGTGGACCACATCTCGGGTCCCCGGCTTCATAGACTGAGTAGACCAAACCAAATGTCATCACCCCTTCCAAAATGGATGCTCTGAACCCAGTCATTACTTGTGGGATTCCATGGACAAGTACATGCTGTGAGACGGTGGTAACATTTAAGAAAAGACAAGCCATTACAGAACCAACCAACTGTGAAATCAAGTGACAAATAGCCATAGGAACAGTAATATGACCCCTAACCGCCATCCCGAACGTGACCGCCAGGTTCACATGGAGGCCGAAGATATTAACCGCTGCATAAACCGCTACCGACAATCCAAACGCATTCGCTATCGCAACTGCTACGAGCTCAGACGGGTCTGTTGTAGCACCTGGCATCATCTTCCTAGAAGACATGGCGGAGCCAACTGCAGCAAAGTCGAAGAGGAAGGTGGAGATGAATTCGGCGAGGTATGATCCATGAGCGTTAGGTTTCACTGTGTGCTTGAGACGGGAAGTTAGCGACACCATTGCCTGATATGAGGAAGAAGACACGAATTGCCTGATATGAGGAAGATGACACGAATTAATAAATATGTTTCATTATATAGATGATCTCTGTTTTCTTATATAGATGATCATAATTTCATTATATGGAATATTTTCATTTATGTTTCCTAATAATTTTTGTTTCCTAATTGTTGATTCGTAAAACAAGATTAGATAGATTGTAATAACAATTCTGCAATGCCGAATAAAACAAGATTAGATAGATTGTTGTTTCCTAATCATTTCTGCAATAGCGAATAAAACAAGATTAGATGGATTGTAATAATAATTCAACACGAAGTAGAATCATATTCAAGCACACATTCGGATAAAAACAATACACAACAAATTTTAATATGTATGCATTTTGTATTAAACTAGAATCGAGAATTTCTACACATGAAATATGCTTTTCGAAATAATATGCCACAAGAGAACCATTGATAATTACATGAATATCATAATCACCACCATAATTTTATTAAAAGTTCTGAAACTTTATAAAACTGTATTTAAATTCTTGACATAAAACTGGAATTAAATCAATCAAAAAATAACACATATCACAAAAAAATTCATAAAAAATTCAAGACAACATATAATGTCATAAAACCTCATTGCAAATTAATTAAAAATGCTAAAAATAATACAAAGTCTATAAGTCTGTTTCCTTATATAAATGATCATAATTTCATTATATAAATCTGTTTCAATAAATGATCAAAATTTCATTATATAGAATATTTTAATTTCTGTTTCTTAATCATTTTTGTTTCCTAATTATTGATTCGTAAAAATCAGTGCTAATGAAATAAATTCACACATAAATAATACAGAGTCAATAAATATGCTTCATTATACAGATGATTTGTTTCCTTATATAGATACCATAATTTTATTATATAAATCTATTTCAATAAATGATGTAAATCAAAGTATTATAACGCAGCGGGATAAACATTTAGATCATACCTTTAGGTGATAGAACCTCGTGGGTAAATCACGTGCTTCCAGAATTCGAACAACGAACCCAGCAGTGGAGTGATACTACAAAATGAGTATCACCCACACAAGTCACAGTGCAAAATGGCTTGATCGTTGTTTAATGGGAGAGAGTTAGAGAGAGAGTCTAGGAAAAAAGGTTATGGGTAAAAACCACATAACTTATCTGATATACGTATCTCTCATCATATCAATTGTATATAATTAAATATATATCAACCAATATCTATCTATCCATCTATCCATATCTATTGATAAGATAGATATAGATATCATGAATGGTTATCCAAATAAGTTTTGAATTCAAATTCAAACTTACATGGATAAGGTTCAAAAGGTTCAGGTTCAAAGGGTCATGCCACATGGGTGCCCAATTTCCAACATCTCTCCACTCGCACATGAGTTGGCATGACACTGCTACATCTTTATCTCAATCTCCCCAAAAATGAACAATCTCATACTAGCCAATACACTGTGCGACTGCTGAGAACACATGCATGTGGGAGCTCTATACTAGAAACTCAAAATGAGCCAACATAGAGACATCAACCCAAAAAGAACAGAAATAGTGTCTCATATACCCCAGACCCATCTAATTACATAGGTCCAAAAAACATCTCTAATCTCTCAAAAAGAGCATGTTTGACCCTCTCAATTCTTGTAATATATTCACACTCAATCCGTCTCTCATACAGAGCGATGTGAGTTGCCGGCAGTGAATATACAATAGTGGTGTAATACTAGATGATCTTCCCTTTGCCCTTATGCCATTTAGTTTAGGATTGACTGCTTTCCCAGTGATGTCCCTTAAGGCCGAATCATACATGACCGCAGGCAACACACCAAAGTAGCAGAACATCAACCCCTTACCTTATGACATAGTCAAAAGTCACAAAAGGGTACATAAATTAAAGTCATATCAATAATGAAACGTAAGACTCACACGGTGAGGAAACAGGGATCCATTCTCTCACCTCATTACTCGCTTGCTAAGCACATATAGTATGAATACATGCTATGGTGGAGTAACTCTTCCAAAAGAGTGGCGTCATACTCGATACACCGTACAGATATTAGTCTAGTCGCTTTCTAGCGCCTAACCTGAATTCTCTATTTGCTCGCCTTCTAGGCGCCAAATGAGATCTCGCATCTGGCTAATCATAACAGGCACAACATGGAAAGTGGGTACTAACATCCATGTTTGGTCCTTAACACGACCTCATCTTGGTTGTAACCAAGGCGACATGCACAGTGGATAATTTAAGCCTCTCTTGGCTCCAAATAAAAAAATAAACCACTAATGTGATAACCCTGTTCCGTTTTGTGCTAATTGGTCCTTAATATAAATATGATTATGTGTTTAATGTGATTTTGTGTGCCATTATGTGAAAATATGTGATTTTGGATTTCTATCTGTTCACCATAGGAATATCTGTTTGATTATCTGCTTTGGAAATTAAATTGAAGGCCTTATCGGCCAAAGAACCCGAAATTGATTGCGCCATTGTGATTGGCGTAATTTTTAGAGCCTACGGTGAAGTTTAATTGGAAATTGATTTGGATCAAATTAATCAGATTAAATTGATGAATTAAGTACCTAATTGTTTTATAATAAAATAATGTGTTGAGTGGGAACTTATAAGGGGCCTTTATACACTCAATTTCTCTCCTTAGCTTTATTTGGCTGATTATAAACTCTAAGAAAAGGGAAAGGGGTCAGCTAGAGAGGGGGAGAAGGAGAGTTGGGTGTTTGGCTCAAGTTTGTGAAGATTGGAGGATTAAACTCAAGAATTTGCTATAGATTGGGCTTCTGTGTTTCGTGCTCCGTTCTCTTTCACTTGCAAGCACTCTTAGGCATGCATTAAGCATTGTAATTGAGTTAAAGAGATAAGAATGAAGCCTAAAGAGGAATATGTGAATTAAAGAATGGATTGAATCGTTTGTGACCCATATGTGCTATATGATGTGTAGGGTCAAGCTCTAGGGCAAATCCACAAGCCGATCACTGTGAGTAATATCTTAACAAGATATTTGAAATATGTTGTTGTCTAATTGTTTACTTCTATGTAAGTTTTATAAGTTCATTAATTCGAATGGTGGACAACGATTGACATAAATGATTGGGCCGAAGGCCGATTGACATGAATGATTGGGCCAAAGGTCGATTGACATGAATGATTGAGCCAAAGGCCGATTGACATAAATGATTGGGCCGAAGGCCGATTGGCATGAATGATTAGGCCAAAGGCTAATTGACATAAATGATTGGACTGAAGGCCGATTGACATGAATGATTAGGCCAAAGTCCGATTGACATGAATGATTGGGCCGAAGGCCGATTGACATAGATGATTGGGCCAAAGGCCGATTAACATAAATGATTGGGCCAAAGGCCGATTGACATAAATGATTGGGCCTAAGGCTGATTAGTACAAGTGATTGGGCCAAAGACCGTCTGCTGTAACTGTTTCAAAGATTGCTTATGTATCTTCCTTATTCGATATTATTCACTAGGCTTTCGCTCACGCTCATTCATGTACATGTAGGTGAGCCAAGGGACGTCCAGAACCAGCCTCGGTGAAATTGTGAGAAACAGTCAAAGTTTTGAGGAGTCAGCCCAAACGTCTCACGCATGAGGCTATCTTCGCCATTGTCCTTTGTTCATAGTTTTGTTATGTTGGCGAAAGCATTGGACTACTTTTGTATATAAGTCTTGGGTTCGACTGACTTAAACTTGTATGATCCTGTATGTACAGTGTTCTATGTTAGTACATATTTTGATGTGAGTTATTAACATATAAATGTTTGGAAAGTTATGGTGTGCATATAAGCGCAGCTCCATAGACAAAGTTTTAAATTTGCGTCCGTTTGGCCCCTTTACTCTGATGAGTTTTGTTTTATTTGGTTTGAGGCCGTAGGTAATCTCATGATTACTGGCCGGTTATGGCCTTAACCTATAGGGACGGGTTCGGGTCGTGACAGAGTGGTATCAGAGCACGAGTTAATAACCCACACACTTGTCCAAAAGAGCAATAAGCGTCTAGAAAAGATCTAGGATGAAGTCATGTGATAAGTATGAATCTGAAAGCATCAAGAATACGCTTAACTGTTAAATGTAAACAACTATGTGTTATAAGTTTGTGAACTGCTTGCATTTCGAATTATTTGATTATGTATGCTCTTTAGTATATGCATACCTGTGTATCTTTTGTATAAAGTATAATGCAAGTTTAATCAGATGGTGAGAACAAGAGGTGATGAGATAGAGGAATCTTCTACTGCCAGACTGGATAGAATGGAAAGACTGATTCAGGAAATGACAGAGACATTGAGGCAACAACAGGAATGGCAACAATAGTGGCAGCAGCCACATCCTCCACCTCCACCTCCGGCACCTCCTGTGCCAGATAATCAGAATGATGACCGAATCATAACTCTCACCAAAGAGTTCAAGAAAATGAAACCACCACCGTTCCATGGTGGATTAGAACCTTTGAAAGCTGAAGCTTGGGTCCTCAGCATCAAAAAATTGTTTGAAGTGTTCCCGTGTTCGGAGACACAGAAAGTGCTTCTAGCCACCTTTATGCTAGAAGACGAAGCAAGAAGATGATGGATGCTAATGCGTGAGAATTGCAAAGATGCTGATTGGGCAAAATTTCTGGAAGTTTTCTATGACAAGCACTTCCCGCAGTGTGTCCGGGATAGGAATGTGGCAGAATTCATGGAACTAAGCAAGACAGTATGACTGTAGCCGAGTATGAGGCCAAATTCACTGAATTGGCCAGGTTTGCGCCACACGTGATTGATACAGACTATAAGAAGGCGAGATATTTTGAAGGTGAGCTTCGAAACGACATTCTAGAGAGGGTGAATGTCTTGAAGCTGGAAACCTACATTGGGGTACTAGACATGGCCATAATATCAGAATCTAATATAGCTAGACAAACTAAACCGACAACTGACTGGAAGGGTAGTAAAAG